GTTAATAATTCTGAAACTACCTTTTTTTATATTCTAAGACAGAGAAAATAAACACCTGAATCATTTCTAGATTCCTCAATGAGTAAAAATGTGGAAAGGAAAAAGCCTAGAATAAACTCTGTGGTTTAGGGTTGGAATTTAAGCAATCAATATAAACTCATAGTTTTACATATGTGGATGAACAGATGGTTAGTTTTTGGATCCTCCAAAATGCAAATATCAAGGTAAGGTTAAACATGCAGGGAATTTATTAAAGAAAATATCTGTGAGAGTGAAAACAAGAAAAGAGCCTGGGAAGCCTGAAAGCACTATCAGATTACAATGTAAAACTGACCCCAAATGAAGGAGAGAAGGAAGGAAGGAAGATTGGATGTAGGTCTTAGACTGGCCTGCAGTTCGAAGGAACACTGGCCATGCCATCAGATAGTCTCTGTAAGAGGAGCACTAGTACCCCAGGAAGGGGCCTATCTTAGAATCCTTGATGTACTCAGTCATTGGCTGAGGAATGCCTGAGTGATGCAAGACCTTTGCATAAACATGGTGATGAATCTCTGAACACAGCAACAGGTCCAAGTTTCTACAGGGGCCAGTCTGTGGCATTAAACAGATGTGATAGAATCCACCAACTCTGAGTCCTTTCGATTTTTTTTTTTTTTTTAGTTGTAGATAGACACAATACCTTTATTTTATTTGTTTGTTTTTATTGGTGTTGGGGATCAAACCCAGTGCCTCACACATGCTAGGCAAGTACTCTATTACTGAGCCACAACCCAAGCGCTCCACTCCTTTAGATTTTTTATGATGGCATTAATCTTTACCACGCCTCCCCTGGTCTACCCCTAAGGGTAAGACATTATGGACAGCAAGGATACTAACAAATCTCCAGAGACTTTCCTTAAAGCATACAATTTCTGAAATATTTATATTAATTCCATATGATGTAACAATACATGCTTAAGTAAAATTGCATATATGCAAGTATATATAAAAAGGAATTATTAATAATCGGTTTGAAGAAAAGATAACAAAATGTTACATTTTTTTATTGGTTGTTCAAAACATTACAAAGCTCTTGACATATCATATTTCATACATTTGATTCAAGTGGGTTATGAACTCCCATTTTTACC